ACCCCCCTTCCCAAAAAATGAATAAAAAAACCCTACCTACCCCCCTCACCCTAAAAATAGTGAGGGGGAACAATAACTAAGTACCTGTAAAAAAAGAAATAAAACTTACCATTTGATGTTTAAACTGCAATTGGATAAATACTTGCAAAAACATAACATACAGGGATATAATTTCTAATTAGTGGGGTAATAGCTGCTTGATCCAAAGAGACATATGACTACTATTTTGGGGTCAAGAAGGAATTTTTTCCTAGTTTGTAGCAAAATTGGAAGCGCTTCAGACTAGGTTTTTTGCCTTCTTTTGGATCAACAGCAAAAACATATGTGAGGAAGGCTGATATTGATGGACGCAAGTCTCTTTTCAGCTATGGAACTATGTAACTATGTCTTCTTTTTTCTAAAATTCTTTTTTCAGCCCCAAAAAAGGCCAAATAAAAAAAAAAACATAATATCTGTCGCACTTTGAAAAAAAAACAAAAAAACATGAGCGCAAACAAAAATCTGAAAAAAGTGTATTGTCACGCAGTACACTTAACAGAAATTGTAACCAAAAGATGATTGATGATAAAATCACTTTTATTCCATGTATCTTTAAAAATTAAGTAAAAAAGCAGCACAGTGCACAGAGATCACCTGAAGAAGAACTGTTCCTGGGTCAAAACGTATTGTGCTACTTTTTTTACTTAAATTTTAAAGATACATGGAATAAAAGGGATTTTATCATCAATCATTTGGTTCCTGTTTCTTCTGAACATCTGATGTCCCAGTAAAGACTTCTATTTTCCTGCTATCCCAAAGGTGGATAAATCGCTATTCCAGTTCAGAGCCATTCTCTAAGGGCTCTGAAAATTGTGAGTATTCCATATTTAATTTTTTTTTATAATTCTATATTTTTTGGTTTGCCATCATAAATTTTACACTTGTGACAGAACAGAGTATATACAATTGTTATACATCATATATTTTACACGTGGTTTTAAACATTTGCCCTAACAATGTTCCACGTAGCTGTCATATTGTACAAATGCAATGCTATGTCACTGTTTATGCAGCCCAGTACATGCCACCTAAACTGGAAACTTTTGGTTCAATATTTTACAGATGGGTTAAATGATTGGTGGAAAAGGCACTAGGTATGAGGCATATACCTCAAGGGAAATTAAGATTTCTAAAGTTTACACTTTCGCATGTTGATTGGATACTGATTCAATTAAATCACCAGACAGTTCCAAAGACTCAAAATTGAAGGCATTATATTTTAAGCTGATAGTGTATTTAGCAGTTGCAGGTACATCTATGCTTGAAACTTCAATAACATGTAACACTGTATTTTCTGTAGTTAAAGACACAGTTTAAAGGGTTACTCCAACCTCCCTGATCACTTCTACCTTTAGACGTGGTCATGGAGAATGTCATTTGTAGGACATTCTACCTGTACACAGTAATCTGCATTTTTTTCCACCGGGGTTTTGAAGCACCTGGCACCCATGACTTAGGTAGCCCGAAACCCTGACCTAGGCTATCTAATGTTAGTTCTGTGCAAGAATCACATCTCTCAGCATGCACTACGCGCTGGCAACAGGAATAATTAGCTTCTTCATGAGCACGTAGTACTGTGAGCATTAGACGTGGTCGTGGAGGAAGTAATCTGTAGGACATGCTACCTGTACACAGTAATCTGCATTTTTCCCCCCCTGGGTTTTGAAGCACCTGGCACCCATGACTTAGGTAGCCCGAAACCCTGACCTAGGCTATCTAATGTTAGTTCTGTGCAAGAATCACATCTCTCAGCATGCACTACGTGCTGGCGACAGGAATATTTAACTTCTTCATGAGCACGTAGTACTGTGAGCATGCCTACAAGTAGAAGACTATAGGACTGTGTGATCACCCAATCATACAATCTAAAGATGTGCTGTATCTATCACCTCCCTCTCTGCCAGCCCTGTGTCACTATATTCCTCCCTAATTCTACCTTTATTCATTATACTTCATGTTTCCCTTCTTCTGTACTTCCCCTCCGCTTGCATATAGTCTGGTCCACTCCCCAACCCCGGCAGCCCACACTCGCTCCATCCTGATTGGACTACAGAGTTGAATCGGATGACGAACACTGATGACAGAAGAGGCATGGACTTGATCAGGAGAGTAGTTGGCCCAGCACTAGATTTAAGGAAAGTTCCTAGCTATTTAAAAAAAAAAAATTTAAATTACAAAACAAAAACTGAGAGGACTAGATAGTGCAAAACAAAAGAAAAAAGGTGAAATATTTCTAGGAGTAACCCTTTAATATAATTATGAATATATGAAAGACACAGAGGTGACTATTATCCCTACTTCTGTATATATATTCGTACAAAATATTTTCTCTCCATTAAGATGATTTTATTAAAATGTATTTATAATTCTACTATCTTGATGAAATATTATAATTTCAAATAATTTGTCAGTCCTTTACCCTACCAGTTTCTTTTTTGTTGATTTCCATAGAAAACCAACATTTTTGTCATCTTTCAACTGGTTTACAATTTATATGGAGTTCAAAGATTTAGTATGCAAAGAAAGAAGACTTTCGAATATGGAACGTTATTATTTATAGACAATGGTATATGTTATTATTTATAGACAGTGGTATGTCCACCCGCTGGATTATTTAATAGCTCCCACCAGTCATCAATGGAGGAGCTCGAGGGAGACAGTTGGATGCACATCTTCCTTATCTTAATATCTCCCACCATTCACCCATGGGTGAGGAGTTGGGGGACAGTTTAGTAACCTATGTTACAGATTCTAAATGTGGCCTTTGTGAAAAGTTGTTTTTCATAGATAGTACCACTCTCATGAATTTGGTTGTAGCAAAGGGGGGATCTAGAAGATTTTCTATGAGTTGTAAGGGTGCCACTGGGACGTTGCAACACTGGCATGACTATCTTCAAAAAAAGGCTTAAAAGTTAGAACTATAAAAATGGGGAACAAAAAAGGAGAAGATGTGGTCTGTGGCTTTAGTGGGAGTAAGAGGCAATGGATATACGATACATTTGTGTAGGTGGAAGGTGGTTATATTACCCAACAAATAAAAAACATTACAAACAACTAAGAAAAACTCATGCTATATTGATTACTATGCAGCTGCAATAAATAATTAATTAGGTGGGGAATGCACTGAATTATGATACCAAGCAATGTATACATGCAGGTCACTCTAATCCTATTAATTTTTCTTGTGAACTATGACAGATAGATCTCCTTATATATTCTGGTAATGGTCTCTCAACGTCCATGCATACATTATGTGGTTGTGTAATGTTCTCAATTACATGATTAGAAAGCATTCAATTCTTCTTCGTATGATAAGGAATGGACCTTTACCCATCGCAGGATGACACACTTGTGTCTGACTCACTCTGTATTATAGGATATTCCCTCATTCTCTGTACTAGGGAAACAAAATGTCATATAAAAGATGACTTTAAGGAGCATGATCTTTAAATTTAATTTAGTGAATTTGCAGTAAACCAGAGGCAATATAATTGAATTTAGTGAGAAGTCACTCCCATTATGCCTAGTCAGATCTGTTTCGGGCCACTGCCTAAAAAGACTGAAAGTTCAAGCACAATTAAAGCACCAATATAACTTTAGCCCACTGAAGTGGATATGGTCCCAGGAGTGCCATGTTGCTGATCCAATATAATTTGTCAAACAATTTTAGAACTTACCTGAGTCCGCTGGGCACCTATGCCGTACCTGGCCTTGACTTGCAGGAGATGCTGGCTGTCTCTCTGCAACTAAGCATGGTCAATATAGGACATACTCATTGGATGACAATGCTCTGGAAATGCTCTCGGCCAATGAGTTAACCAGATCATGGGCGTCCACAGGAATTTTTCCAGGGGGGGCATAATTGTTATGACATCCATGCTTGGTCCCTTTTTGACAGTGTCATGAAAGGGAAGGGGCATAGTCATTATCACATAAAGCCAGGATGAATAGCGTTTTCACAACTATGGTGTCAGGAATACAAACATGCAAATTAAAGGTACATTCTGGTCAGCATAACAACTTAATCTAAATGAAAATGATATGATGCCAGGAAGCCCCTGGGTGCTCTCTTTCCTTTAAGGGGTTAAACCGCTCTCAAATGGTTTAACCCCAAAGGCTTCCTCCAGCTCCAGATCTCCAGGTCGCTCAGTGTTATTCGGCTTCTGAAACATCAGGCATGGGTGCTGCAGATTGGCTAAAGTGGTCAGCTGACGCTCTAAGCCAATCGCTAGTTCCCGGTTCATAAAAATGTTTTACTTTTTTATGAATGGGGAGCTACTGATTGGCTTAGAGTGCCAGCTGGCCGCTCTAGCCAATCAGCGACACCCCTACCCAGCGGCACTCTGTGCTTCCTGACACTCAGTAAATAAAAGTGAACACATTAACACTGATTTATTTATTTTTTACCTGGGGAGATGAGAAGGTCCAAAGTTTCCCTGCCAGGCCCAGATACCAAAGCCTTATGATGTGTTGTCCAGAATAAAATGGAGGGTTCACTTCACTTGTCCTTCCTGCTCCAATCTCCCTTTCTTCTCCTTCATTTGACACAGTCTTCTTTTTCGTCTGACACTGTCTTCTCTCCTCCTTGGCACCTTCTGCTCTTTGACCTTTCTGCTCCTTTCTGCTTATTTTGTGCCCTTCTGCTCCTTTCTCTTTCTGATCCCTTTCTGCTCCTTGCAGACCCTTTCTACTCCTTCTCCTACTTTACCGTTGTGCTCCTTCTGATTCTTTCTGCTCCTTTACCTTTGTGCTTCTTCTGTCCCTTTCTGCTCTTTGCAGACCCTTCCTTCTCCTTGCTGCCCCCTGCAGACCCTTCCTGCCCCTTGCAGACCCTTCCTGCCCCTTGCAGACCCTCCCTGCTCCTTGCAGACCCTTGCTGCCCCTTCCTGCTCCTTGCTGCCCCTTCCTGCTAATTTCTGCTCCTTCTCCTACTTTACGTTTGTGCTCCTTCTGCCCCTTCCAGCTCATTGCTGATCCTTTCTACTCCTTGATGTCCCTTCCTCCTCATTTTTGTTCCTTCTCCTACTTTACCTTTGTGCTCCTTCTGTCCCTTCCTGCTCCTTGCTGCCCTTTCCAGCTCCTTGCTTACCATTTCTGCTCCTTCCACTTTACCTTTGTGCTGCTTTACCTTCCAGCTCCTTGCTGCTTCTTGCTGACCCTTCCTGCTCCCTGCTCCCTGCTCCCTGCTGACCCTTCCTTCTCATTGCTGACCCTACCTGCTCATTTCTGTTCCTTCTCCTTTCTGCTCCTTCTCTTACTTTACCTTCCAGCTCCTTGCTGACCCTTCCTGTAGGCTGTCTCCCTCATCCCTCACTTCCCTGATCTACAAGGCTCTCTCTCCCCCTCCCCCTTCCCTGATCTATAGGCTCTCTCTCCCCGCCCCCACTTTCCTGATCTATACTCTCTCTCTCCCCTTCCCCTCCTTCCCTGATCTATAGGCTCTCTCCCCCTGCCCCCCTTTCCTTGATCTATAGGCTCCCCCCCTTCCCTGATCTATAGGCTCTCTCCCTCCCCCTTTCCTGATCTATAGGGCTCTCTCCCTCCCCTTTCCCTGATATATAGGCTCTATCCCTCCCTTTCCTGATCTATAGGCTCTCTCCCCCTCCCCTTCCTGATCTGGGCTCTCTCCCCTCCTTCCCTGATCTATAGGCTCTCACTCCTCCTCCCCTTCCTGATCTATAGTCTCACTCTTCCCTCCCCTCTGATCTATGGGCTCTCTCCTCCCCCCCGCCCCTTCCCTCACTTACCTGATCTTTAGGCTGGCCCCCATGCCTCACTTACCTGATCTGTAGGCTGCCCCCCATTCCTCACTTAACTGATCTGTAGGCTGCCCCCCCATGCCTCACCTAACTGATCTGTTAAGCAGCGTGTGCTGCTCCTCTGCGGATTCAGTCAGTAGAGCGAAGCAGGGATAAGATGTAGCTTCCTATCCCTGTCTCTCTCCATACACGGCGCCACCTACTGGACAGCGACAATATTGCACTGTATTTTCAATCACACGAAAAATAGCAGAACAAGCTGAAATATCCAGGGGGTTCCCCCCCTGCAGAGCTACAGCCATGGATGCTGGTAGGACCGAGGTAAGTTGTCAAACCATTCTAAAATGGTTTGAAAAAATTACACTGGAACTGTGCTAAGACATTCCTTGCAGCATAACCACTGCAGCAGGTTGGAGTGGATGTGGTGCTTTAAAGTATATTAGACAATCATTGCGATTTAACGTCTGAAACAAAGAATGTAAAAGTCGAGTGCAAGGTTTCAGGGCGTTTTTTAATTAAAAAACAATTATTTGTGAGTGTGTGTGTGTCTGTGAATGTATGTGTGTGTGTCTGTAAGTGTGTGTGTGTCTGTGAGTGTGTCTGTGAATGTATGTGTGTGTGTCTGTGAATGTATGTGTGTCTGTGAGTGTATGTGTGTCTGTGAGTGTATGTGTGTGTGTGTCTAAGTGTGTGTGTGTCTGTGAGTGTGTATGTGAATGTATGTGTGTGTCTGTAAGTGTGTGTGTGTTTGTGTGTCTGAGTATGTGTGTGTCTGTGAGTGTGTGTGTGTGTCTGTGAGTGTATGTGTGTGTGTGCACGCGTATAAATGTGTGTGTCTGTGTATGTGTGTCTGTGTGTGTGTGCACGTAGATATATATATATATATATATATATATAAATATATATACGAGTGTATATTATTTTTTTTGGTGGGGGTGGGAATCTTGGGAGAATTCCCACACTTTATTCCCCAGGACTTGACCCCTGCCAGCAGGCAACGCTCAGAACTCGCAAGAGTGAACTCTAGCCCCACAGGCTAGAGTTCACTCTCCACTGGACCACCAGGGATGGTACATGGCAGCAAGGACCCCCCTCCCTACATAAGATAAGAAGGGAGGGGGGGTGTTTATTAATCTGCCCCCGCCTTCACAATCCCTCCAAACATACAGCACACACACACACACATACAGCACCCACACACACACATCACCTACACACATACAGCACCCTAACACAAACAGCGCGCGCACACAGCACCCTCACACACACAGCACACAAACAGCACCCTCACAAACACACACACACACACACACAGCATGCTCACACACACAGTACACTAACAGCACCCTCACAAACACACAACACCCTCATACACAGCACACTAACAGCACCCTCACAAACACACACAGCACCCTCACACAAACAAGCACACTCACACACAGCACACTAACAGCACCCTCACACACAAAGCACCCTCACACACACACACCACACAAACAGCACCCTCAAACACACAGCACACTAACAGGACCCTAACACACATACACAAACACCCTCACACACAGCACACTACCAGCACCCTCACACACACATCACACTAATAGCACCCTCACACACCCACAGCACCCTCACACCACCCTCACACAGCGCACTAACAGCACACACACACACAAACAGCAGTGTATGTATGTGTGTGTGTGTGTGTATATATATATAATATATACATGCGGTGTGTATTTGTGCTTTAGGGTGCACACCCTAATGCAAAAGGCTGCGCACGCCTATGACAGTAGTTACCATTAACGGGGTAAAGTATTAAGAAGAATTTTGTTAGATTTGCAAGCGATGTCAATTGGAGTTAATCAAGAAATAACAAAGACTGTATAAATGCTTCAGAAACCAAGAAGGTTTTGAACTCACCAGCCTTTGGCTTTCAATGAGATTTCACTAGTTTGTAATGCAGAAAGCTATGGTGTACATACACAATGATATAATGATATAACCTACACATGTTATTCATTTCAAACAATGTTATGGTCAAGAGCAACCCTCTATACACTGTAGGAAACTGGATCCAGCCACATGTTGTAATTCTGTCCAAATGTTTAGTCATTTTGGGAAGAAGTACTTTCAGCTATCATTGTTTTACAGATATGCAATTACCTAAAGGGACACTATAGTCACCAAAACAACTTTAGCTTAATGAAGTAGTTTTGGTGGATACATCGTGATTCATCATCTCAGTGCTCAATTCTCTGCCATTTAAGAGTTAAATCAGTTTGTTTATGCAGATCTAGTCACACCTCCCTGCATATCATGTGCCCAGCCTTCCTAAACACTTCCTGTAAAGTGAGGTCTAATGTGTATTTTTATTTTATTGCACAGTCTGTTTAATTTAGAATGTATTATTATTATCTCCTGGTCTGTTAAAGCAGCACTGTCCACTCAATTTACAGAGCAGGAGATAAAAACTTCTAAAGTCAGTTAATTTCTGATTGAAAATGAAATCATTTGTTTTTCATGCAGGCTGTGTGAGTCATAGATAGGGGAGGTGTGGCTATGTCTGCATGGATCTATACACAAAAATAAAAGTGATTTAATCCCTAAATGTCAGAGAATTGAGCAGTGAGACTTCAGTGGCATCAGTGGCGTACATACCAGGGTCGCGGCTGTGACCGGGCCCGGCCCACCAGGGGGCCCGGCCGACCCTGCAACACGGTATGTACCCACAGGGCCAGCCTCTTCTCCTGGGGGGCCCAGGAGCCGGCCACCTCAGGGCCCCCCCGAGGCTGGCCCTGTTGACCCCGGCGGGCGGGCTGGCTGGGTGGCCGGCGCGCGAGGGAGCACTCTGCTCTGAGTGCTTCCTCTTCCGCTCCTTCGCGCACCGCACTGATACCGGATCCGGAAGATGACGTCATCTTCCGGCTCCGGCATCCCCAGAGCAGAGTGCTCCCACGCGCGCCGGCCACCCAGCCAGCCCGCCAGCCCGCCGGTGTCAGCAGGGCCAGCCTCGGGGGGGCCCTGAGGTGGCCGGCTCCTGGGTCCCCAGGAGAAGAGGCTGGCCCTGTGGGTACATACCGGGTCGCAGGGGCAGCCGGGCCCCCTGGTGGGCCGGGCCTGGTTGCAGCCACGACCCCTGCGACCCTGGTATGTACGCCACTGAGTGACAGCCACTGGAGGTGTTCCTAGGCTGTAATGTAAACACATTAAGCTGTAGTTGTTCTAGTGACTATAGTGTCCCTTTAAATGTATGCACATTTTCTTTGGAGCCATATCTACTAAACAGTGATTTTGTCATTATTATTTTTTTTTTATTTGGTCACTGGCTGCGATTGTCACTCCCACTAATCTCGCCAGGCTGGAGCATTTATGTCCCAATGCTACCCTAAAATTAAAGAAATTCCGATTAAAAAAAAAATAATAATAATAAAAATTAACAAATGAAATGTAATATAAAAGATACCCAATGCTGGCAGTTTATTAGGATAAAATAATGCTATTTCAGGATTTTGGACAGAGTTATAAACCACACAATTTGTGATCTCGCAGTTTCTCTAGAACAATCCACTACAGCTTAATTTTCCCAAAACAGTGCTTCACTGTTATGTATCTTTCTCTCTTTATTTACGTATGTCTATAATTGAAAAGGAAACTGGACAACCAGACATTGGCATTGCAATGGTTAAAAGATAGTGCACTAAGATGATCAGACACAACAAATCGTGTTTTCCTGCAATGCATGTTGCTTCCTGACACTTCGTAGAATCTTTGGAAATGACACATTCCGTGCATAGTAAACAGCTTCACTTCTCATCAGCAGGCAGGCTAATAACTATTGACTACTATTGATACTTCCAGATTGAACCTGTAACCTGCTTGTAGATGAGATGCTCGGATCAAAGCATTAATCTTGCATGGAGCATCGTAAGCCGAGCATCCAACAGTCACACCATCATCTCGCTTGCTGACATCACCGCTGCCTGATCTGCTATTGGGCAAAACCACTGACAGCACATCCTAAGGGACTTATCATTTTCCACTCAGGTAGCACAGATTCCGTTTACAAACAATCACATGCCGTGTGCATAGTGATGACTTACAAATTTACTATAAAGTGCTCCCTGCTGAAGTCATCTTCCCTTAGTCACATGGGCAGTATATAAAAATCTCCGATTACTGTACTACCAGATGTTCAGCTAAAAGCCTACATTAAATTATCTTTAATTAGTTATAATGCCTTCGCTCAACCTAAGCCTAAATCGATAAGCAAGCTTTTTTTTTTTCTTTATTATTGAACTTTTTAACTACTTCACTTCTAGAGAAAATCTTTTTCTAAAGGAAAGATGTTTTGGAAGAAAATTGTATCATTTCATGAGAGAAGAAACCCATTGGGGTAGGAACAAAGAAAATCTTGGAGACATAGCTTTTTATCAAGAAAAGCCAAATAGCTCCTTCCCTGTTTTTTATTTTTCAAATATTTTATTTGCTGAAGATTGGTCACAGATCGGCTCAAAAACACATTACATATATTTATACAATTGTAGAGTCAATCTCCCAATCCCCTGCCTTTTTACAGGTAAGATCTCGCTTGCCACAAAGGCTAGGAGCTGGAGGTATCTAAAAAAGTCCCCAGGGGTCAAATGAACTCTAGTCTGAAGATATGCAAAGGTAACAATGGTATTATTTAAATAGAAATGAAAGGATATCTGAACCCTAGTGTACTTGATTCCTTGCATGCATATTCAGGGGAAAATATTTCTTAGGTATGTGTCATCATTGGAGAGGGGCTGGTGATCAAAGACAGATAGATGTGGCATCCCAAACATGTTTTGAGTTGAGTATGGCTGAGCATTGGGTGAGCAGAATGGCTCTGCTGGATCTTGGCACTCCTATTAAAAACTGCAGTAAGTCAGATCCCATAAGGAGGGACTGTAAGTCCACTCAGCACCTAGCATTGGTAGTGCCAAGCCACAATCTCAGCCAGCTGTGCAGCAAGCTAATAGAGGGAAAGGTGGGAGAGGCCCAGACCATCTCTGGTCCGGAGTCTATAAATATACTATAAAGTATATTTCAGACCACCCTGGTTTGCCTTTTTGCCTATTAAGTTATCAATGGCCATTTACAGATTGGTCAAGTCATATTTATTTTGTAACTGCTATCGGAAGGGCCTTAAATAGAATCAGGATTCGAGAGAGTATATTGATTTTGATGGTGTGTATGCGATCCATAAAAGAGATTGGCTGCTAGTGCCATTTATCCAAATCCTGAATCAAATATCTAATTATCAGAGTATCATTAGCTCTGTAGAGATCCACTGGATCTGCTGTTAGGATGACCCCTAGGTATTCAAAAGAAGTTTGGGAAGTTTGTATGCAGTATGTTGACTCAACAAGTGCCACATCCCTAGCCAACATGTTTAGGGGCATAGCTATGGATTTGTTTAGACTCACCCTGTACCCTGAAACAGTCCCAAAATCTGTGAGCAGAGTGTGTAAATTAGACATTGAGGTAGTTGGATGTGTCCGGGGGGGCATATCATCTATGTAGGCTGTCACAGTAAATTCACTGCCCACTGAATATATCTTATGCCGGAAGCAGTCCTAAACAAAGCTCTAGGGCCTGACAGTATACACCCACGAGTACATAAGGAGCTAAGTGTGAAAATAAGTGATCCTCAGTTTTTAATCTTTCAATTTGTTTCTTTCAGGAAATGTACCGGAATAATGGAGGAAGGCTCAATCTTTGCCTGGAAATTATAGATCATTGGCTGAGAAAGTATTTGAAGAGTTATTACTGGATTATATTCATGAATTCATTAGGAAGAACATAGTTATTAGCAAAAATCAGCATGGTTTTATGAAACATAGGTCATGTCAAACTAACTTAATTGCATTCTTCGAAAAAATAATTAGAATTATAGATTAAGGTGTTGCACTGGATGGGATCTACAAGAATTTTAGTGTTCAAACTAAAAGAAATTGGCCTAGATGAAAATTATTGGGTAGAACATTGGCTTAAAGATAGAGTACAGAGAGTTGTCATTAACCCCTTCCCGACCAGAGACAGAAATTTTCCATCAAGCTTGTCCTTGCATTAAGGACCCTTGATGGAAAATGTCAGTCATTTACTAAAGTTAACCGCAGATCGCAGACTGGGCGCACCCGATCACACTGTCCCTGCAGCTGTGTTTGCTCTGACAGGCTGTCAGAGCGAGCACATGTGCTGCAGGGACTTCTGAACCGCCTTCCTGTGCTTCCGCGTTCTGTGTGACGTGCAGGAAGACAGATCAGCAGTGAACTTCTCCCTGCAAAAAAATAAAATAAAGTAACAGTTAAATCCCACCCCGCTTTCCCCTGCTTTAATAAAATTAACCACTTCCCTGCTAATTGATCACCGACTACAGTGATCAATTGGCAGGGACTACATTTTACTGTCATCTGATTTATTTTTTTTTTAACCCCCGAGGGTTAATTTTATTTATTTTTTACCCTCAGGGGTTAAATTTATTTTATTAATAAATTTAAATATTTTAAAATGAAATATTTAGCTAGCTGGGGTGGGTGGAAGTTAGTGGGGAATTGGGGAATTTGGTGTTAGTCTAGCTAGGGGTTAACGTTAAAAAGAGTTTTTTAAAAAGCTTTAAAAAGTTTTTGAAAAATAAAAAAATGTTTAAATAACAATTTAAAAAAGTGAAAAAAAAATCCCAACCCTTTAACCCTGTCCGAATAAAAATTAAACCCTTCCCTGCCTGGTGATCACTGCCTACAGTGATCAAAATACAGATCGCAGTATTATACTGTGATATAATTTTTTTTAACCCCATAGGATTAACTTTTATTTATTTTTTAACCCTCAGGGGTTCAATTTATTTCATTAATTAATTTCAATATTATAAAATTATATATTTTGCTAGCTGGGGTGGGAGTTATGGGAAATTGGGGAATTTACTATTAGTGCTGCTTACTGCTAGTTAGGGGTTAATGGTAAAAAAAAAGTTTAATAAAAATTTTAAAAGTGTAAAAAAACTTTTCAAAGTTTAAAAAATGTAATAAGTAAAAAAGTTTAAAAACAAGTTTTAAAAATTAAAAAAGTTTTAAAAAGTAAAAAAATCCATTTAAAAATGCTCATTACCACTACACCTGGAACAAACTAGAAAAAAAATGATCCCAAGCTAAGGTTCAAAATATACCTTTTGAATTACCCCGGGGTGTATTCTTTAATAAATAGTATGTGTTTGTGGGGAAGTTTGCATAAACAACCAGCTAAACTACTCAAAAATGGAACATGGACACAGCGTAAAACTTCAAAGTTAGAAAAAAACTGAATGGCTGCATCTCAAATGTGCCCCTTCAACATCCACATATACCTGATCAGATGACATCGCTGAGCAACATATGAAGTATTATACAGTCGTAGCACACAAAGTGCCAAAACAGTGGGGGTATCGTTATATTCAGCAGATGTAGCTGAACACAATATGGGGTTCTGTGCAGGAATTGCACACACCAGCTTTACAAAATACACATTACAAAAACCTTGTTATATGTGTATATGCCAAAATAGAGAAAAAACAAAATTTTACTCCAATATTTAGCAAAGATTGGCGATGAAATGGCTACGTAAAAAGTGTCAAATTAACCTTAGGTAAATAGCCTGTGATGTCTGCTTTATATAAATATATACTTTTGTGTGGCAATTTTGTTTTCTGCGATGGCTACTAAACCTACAAGACAAACATACCAACTTCTAAAATTGTTTCACAGTAAAATTTTATTTTAGTCCTTGTATTTTGTGACCTGTAACTTTCAAAATAAGCTGAAATCCTATACATATGATGTACTCTAAAAATTCAACACATAAAATACATTTATTTTGAATAACTTTTTCTAAGCTAGACATATTATGCACACGCTATTATTGCCAAAACTGTAAAAAAAATTGTTGTTTTTTTTTGGGCATTTTGTTTATAATTAATCAGAATGTATCTATGTATATGTGACATAAAATTAAAGCCCTGTCTGCCCTCTAAAAAACGGTATATAATGTGTGTTGGTGCAATAAATGACAGAGATGCAAATTGCGTTTGAACACAAACAGCAAAGAATGCAAAAATGTCTTGAGGCCTTAAGGGTAAGACAAACTTTTGAAGCGGTGTCCTTAAGGGGTTAATGGTATATTTTAAAGCTGGACAACAGTGGTAAGTGTTGAGCCTCAGGGTTCTGTTCTCAGACGGCTTCTATTTAACATATTTATAAATGATCTTGAAATAGGCATTGAAATCCATGTTTCAGTTGTCTTTCCGAAATAAAGCTGACCTGAACAGGTTTAGCTGTGATGCAAGGAATTTTGTAAAAATGTTATGTTAGCATTGATTAGGAATATGAGTCTATAGTTTCCCAATTTGGTCTACTCTCTCCCTGTTTAGTAGTGGGTTATATTGCGGCAGATGAAAGTTGTCGGAGGCATCAATCTCTAGGCATCGCAGAAATCCTCTGGGGTCTGAACTAAGCGTCAGGAATGATGTCTTTCCGCACTTGAGTACAAGGATTTTGAACTGATGGCCCCATGCAAACCTCAGGTTGTAGGCTCGGAGTAGGTAGGTGATCGCTTTCAATTAAGCATTGTTGAGCTGCGACTACATGCAGGGTTGGCACCCCCTGTACCCCAATTCTTACAGTAGTGGTTAGAAAGGGATTAACACAAACTAGAGGGATTGCCCAATAGCACCATTTCCACTACAATAAGCTATAGTGGTTATGTTGCTTTGTGTGTGGTGCTAGTTTGTCATTCCTCAGCATTGCTTTTCTAGATGTTCACAATAACGCATAAATATTTTAATTGGTATGTATATAAAATAGGTTGATTGTTTTCTAAAAACAACGAAACACAGTGACATAAATAGCTAGCAATTGTTCATGAAGTCAAACATAAATAGCTAGCATAAGGCTATCATAGATATAAGATAAAGCCAGGGACTAATGAAAGTATTTATAAAATTGGGCAGACTAGATGGACCAAATGGT